CAACTGGAGCGGGGATGGGGCGGCCGCGGCCGGTGGCGGCGGGGGGAGGACAGAACTTCCGACCCACATTGGTGGTCGGGTCCAGCCAAGCTTGGCCGGCCGTCGAGCCTGCTCTCGGGAAAACGGTTTCTTTGATTCGGGGAAATCCCATAATTGAAAATGAACTGATTCTATCGTATTCCTCGAAACGTCTCGGATTTATATCCGACAAACTATAGGAGCTGTCCTCTGAAAGTTTCCTTTGAACTGATAGAAACAATATTTGAATGGAATTTCCTCAAACCCTGGAAACCATTTTTTGAGCGTGGCGGCGGGTCCCACCACGCTCAGCTTTGGCTTCGCCGACTGTAGCTCGGCGTGCATGGGTGCGCCCTGGGGACAGCCCCGCCGCTTGCACCACGCCGACCATGATTCATCAACGACCATTTCACCAATCCGGACGTCAGCGGGTCAGGGGAGTTGTTCCTGATTTAATGGCGGGAAAAAAATTAACAGGAAACTCTCATTTTTTCTCGTCATATCTAGAACCTCTCCCTTGTGTAAAGCGGAAGCTTTTATCAACTCAGGTTCCCGGTATTTAATTAACTTGTTGCTCTATGAATTTCCAGGGTTGTGCAAAGGTGTGACACGGTGAAGTTGCACGTGTCTGGGGTTGGAGACGAGTTTTGATTCTCAACTTCATACCTTACACATATCTGCTGGGAAAATACGCAACTGGAATCCATCCATACCTATCTGAGCGGAAAAAAGGAAGGGGATATGGTCAAAAAACAATCGGTAAAGAAGAGGGAGGGGGACGACGGCGGAGGTGGGGCGCGGAGCGGGCCATACCGCGCAAAACAAACTTCTGACGGAGCCGGACATTAGGACCACCACCGCCCGCGCGCGCGTCGCTGTGTCGAAAGCGGAGCGCGGGGCAAAATCGAAAGTGTGGAATCAATCGGTAACCGATTAATTGTGCCCGCGAGTGGACTCACACGATTACACGACCACGGCGGCGCGGGCCGCGGCAGGGAAGGGATGGGGGACCCCCGCGGGCCTCGGGGTAGGCCACCCGCCGCGCACGGCTACAGACTAGTGCCTACCTACCAGGCGCTTTCCCCCCCTAATCAGAACCAAAACCTTTCCGAATCTTTCAGAAAAACTCTTCGCAACGGCTCTTGGGCCGGTCTAGTTGTAGTTGGACATTTTTATGTTTTCCTAGACCTCTACTCTCTGCAGGACGAAAACATTAAAACTGGAGTGAAAACTGCGAGGGAATATTTGTATGGAACAAAAGTTCACTCTTACAGTTCACTCTCACTTTTGGACCCCGAATTTAGTATTTTATCCCTCAAGAAATACAGAAATAATCAACTCATATAACTAAAAAATATTTTCTCCAGTAATATGTCGCTACGTGAATCACATAAATCGGGGAGGAAAAAAAGGGGGGGCACACCCCTACCCCTAACGTAGATGTATCGCGAGATAGGCACGAGTCAAACGCCGCGCAGCGACCGGTGCTGGACACCTCATTTTGAAACGCCCCCCCTCTTACAAGTCGTTTTTTTCCGTCTTGCGGGCCTGCAGGGAAGGCCACCAGACCGCCACTCGTAACACGCCGCACAGTCCGGGCACCGGCGCGTTTTTAAGCGTCTGACACTGACATGGATTAGCCGGTGGAATGTTTTAATCCCCCGCGATAGATCCCTTTCGTATTCCAGGTTTTGGATCGATTCCTCGCTATTGAGCGTGACTACAGGGCTCCCCGGTGACCCCTGGGCGATGTTAGATCAGTCGTGAACTAGTTAACGGTTGGGCAGCATGTAAGGGTCCGTCATTCCACTCTCCTGCCCCCATGGGACTGCGGAAGACTGCACAACCCTCGATTTTTCGTCAGTTTTCTCCCCCATGTCCTATAACGTTTTAACGGCCGCCAGAGCTATGCCGGGACGCCCCCAGAAGGCGGTCGGGTGTGGCCGGTGTGTATCCTGGCTGATAAGCCGAGCTGTTGGCGCACCAGACGCCGAATGCTGTTCTCCGGTGCTGGTCTGCTCGCTGGAGCGGCACCGGCTCTGTGCGCCGCCCGGCGCCACCGGCACGGCTCCCAGCGCCACACTCCTGCTGGTTGGGTTGCCTGCCCAGCGGGCGAGAGGCGGGGCGAGCCGGGACGGGCTTGGCGGGGGGGCCCGGGGGCCAGCACCCACACCCAACGACGCCGAGCCTTCCTTCTAGAAGGAGGAGGAGGAGCAGGAGGAGGAGGAGCAGGAGGAGGAGGAGGAGGAGGAGAGAGGACTTTGCTCTGCCGCGCCGCGAATTTCTGGCATACTTGGCCGTGTCTGAGGGCCTTGAGTCGGTCTGACAGGGCCTTTCGCGCGCGTTAACGAGACATTACTCGCAGTGATTACAGAGCCCCCATTTCCGTTTATCGCCCGCCCCCGCCGCCCCCGCCGCCCCCAGCCTCCTGCCTGCAGTCGGAGCAGCCTAACCCCGTCCGCCCGGGCGGGCGCGCGCTGGCTGCGGCGCCCAGGTGAGCTTTGGCTGGCTCGGCTTCACAAGCCGCGGTGTGCGCTTGGCTCCGCGCGCGCGCCCCCAAAGTGACGACGAAAGTTTTGCGGCAGCTCCAACCCCCGCCGCCTTGTTGTGCTCGGCAACGAGGCCATCAAGGCGGAGAACTTGGGAGGCGGAGGAAAAGCCCCGGTCTGTGTGTGTGTGTGTGTGTGGGGGGGGGGGCTGTTTCCTCCTGCACCTCACCTTTCACCTCAAGTCAAGTCAAGTCGGGAGGCACTGCCATGCCGGGGGATGTCTTCGAGCAGAAGGCCACCATAAGGTACGACCTCTGATCCTTGTTGTACTCCCAGAATCCAAAAGACGCCAACCAGGACGGCAATACGTCAAACATGATTAGATCATTTGTTGGCGATTCGCGGTGTATGCCCTCACCATATGCAGCAGGCTTGATCCTGACTATGATTGTGACCAGTGAACACTGAACACACCAGAGATGGTTGACTTTATAGCCGTCAGTGTTCAAACCTCGACCGCGACGAGGTCGAGCGACCTCTATAGGAAGGTCGCAACACTAGTGAGTGACCGGCCGCACATGCAGTCAGCACAGCAGTCGATAGACGTACCGTCAACACTTGTCAACACGGACGCCCAACGCCCACGATGTTCTGAAGTATTGAGAAGTGTCAAGTAATGCTGATTTCTAGAGCGCCAGTTTGCGTCGTCCGAGTGTAAAATGTACACTACAGATACTTTTAAACGGAAGTTCATGTCGATTTTAACCTCTTCTCGGCAACATGTTGGTTCTCTAACCTAACATAGCAACATCAGCTAAGATGAAATTTAAATGCAAGGTAAGCTTCTTAAGTGCAAATCAATAAGATCAAGACATTGAAATATGATTTAACTCTTTTGCTTATAACAAATGTCTCTGAAATTGATGCGGTTACTTTGACGATAATCGTTCAAAGGCGCGCGTAGGATGGGATCAAGATTATAGGAATGTGAAGTTTTGCCAGAGATAGTTCTAATAACTTTTAGAAATCGCCGATTTTTACTTCCCGCGAGCGAGCGTCCCGACGACGTCGACGAGGCCATCCTAATGTGTGATCAAAGCGGGCCAAAGACTGCGTGGCGTTCGTGAAAAATCATTTTCCGTGTACGCGATCCCCCTATCGGTACCAAACGGTCTCACCGAAGTGGTTTTTAAAGAGTGAAATTGCAACGACGGTGGAAGTTATATTATGCGCCGCTGCCGAAGGATACCAATAATACTGTTCTTTAATACCGAGTGAGCCGGCGCTTTGTTTTCACGCCTCGAGGCGTTGTTAGCCGGCCTGGGAATGTCGGGGAATGTCCTAGCTGCTGTGTGCGCCCCTCCCCCTCCCCTCCTCGTCGCCCCCTCCCCTCTCCCCCCCTCAGACTGGCCAGCTTTTGTTATTATGCAGGGTTGGGACGAAGCGGGGCGGGGTGAGGCAGTGCTCGCCGGACGCTTTGGCCAACTTTGAGCCCCCCAGGCCGCTTTTAAAATTTACTTCTGCTGGAACAATAAACCACCATGGACGGCGTGGTAATGAAAAGATGGGGTGCCAGTGAGCGGCGAGGAGCTGTTTACCCAAGTTCTTTTTTTTTTTTTTACTACTCTCTCAAAATTGTTGCCAAATTAACACCTCCTCTGCCTTCTGCCTTCTGCCCAACCTCTGGCTCCTTGATATGGCCGCCAGAAAGAGGTGAGCAATACGTAATCCACCTCCAGCAGCATTTCGACTACCCTCACTCCTCACTAAAGTAAGAAAAGTGGGCGAAGTGTCTTGGCTTGGGCCTTCGCCTTCGGACGCGTATCCGTCGGTAAAGGAAAGTCATCACCCCATCCCTCTCCCTCATACGCACCAATAAGACGCACATGATGGGTATTTAAATTCTAGTGCAATAAAGTAGAGGAAAAAAGAGCGACACCCTCTACCCCTACCTCTATGTCTGAAAATCCAGGATACCTATGCCTTGAACGCATAACTGTCAGTTCGTGGTCACGTGATTTTTCCTATAGTGTATGTAACTGTGAATACGCAGCAGTGTTGCGGGTTTGCCCACTCTTTATACCCGTAAGGGGCCATGGCCCCTGCGGCCATATTGAGTATGCAATCCCGCAACACTGCTGCGTAATCACAGTTACACCCGGTACAGGACATTCTGTAGAATGTCCATACCCTAGGGGTTGTGTTTCCTGATGCTGGATCACACGAATAGGGTACTCCGGGGCTCGGCTAGACCGGAAGGAGAAGAACAAAAAT